TCCACCCCACAGGCCAACCATGGATAAATTGAAGAAAAGTTTCTGAAGAAAACCGAGGACGTGGGTAGATTCATTTGCTTTTACTGCTGACAAACTTATGGGGTTTGCTGTTTAATGCATGCAGCCCTTTAGCACTGACTTTGACTCTGCAGGAACCTGTTCTCCTATTTAAAATACGTGAAAGGAGTCCGACTAGTGTATAATGTAAGATTAAAAATAACAGTTTTTAGTGACTGAACAAGAGCTGCAGCTAAATCATAATGAAGATATAGATCTACTTCCTTGTTTTAAGAAGATTCTTATAAAAAATCCAGCAACATTATTACACTGTGAGTGGGATTTTTCTTTAATATTTCACCAAACTATTATTTATATTTGTTGTACTGCAGAAACTCTACTTACTATATGAAAGTATCAGTTAGTCCTTTTTTTATTCAGGTTGACAGCTGACTGCACCCTCCAGTACACGTGATAAAAGGATGAGGGCACACAGAAGCAGGCGGCAGTTTTGGTTTGCTGCAGGTGGATAATTTAAGTTCGGCTTTTTATTTCATAAATACGGGAAGGACTGAAATAGACACTGAGTATTTTATTTGAAAGTAACCTTCGACCTAGCATCTTTTTTTCAGAGTTCAAAATGTTTTTGTTACATGCAGAAATTAAAAATTTGTTTCCTCTGTAGCAGTTCATTGATTTCATAAATGCAACACACTATCGTTTTTTATACATAGCATAAAGGTAAACAACGATATATGCAGTGTTATCTTCATTTCAGATGTCAAAAGTGGTTTGCGGCTCCTGGTGTTTTCTTTTCTGTGGGAAACGGGTCCAAATGGCTCTGAGGGCTACAGGTTGCCGGCCCCTGCTCTAGAGGAATCCATCCATCCCAACGGGCTGGGATTCATCTGCAGGCTTTCATGCTTGGCCCAGTCTTGCAAAGCAAGCTGAGCCAAGCCAAGAGGAAGTCCACAAATCAGTGTGGAAAGACGGTTGCGTGGCCTGCAGGTTTCTGTCACTTTGGGTGCAGCAACATGACAGTGGTTGGAAAAAGGACGCTACTTTTGCCGTGCTCGTGCGGAGATCAGTTCCTGGTGAGCTCTTTATGACCCACCTTCTTCCACATCAGATGCATGAATCCAAAAGGCATGGAAGAAGGACGCTGCTTGCCCAGCAGATGGTACTTGATTTCTGATGAATGCCCCATGAATGCTGGGCACCCTCATCAGGAATGCGGGCTCAAAGTCACTGCAAAGCAGACCGGAGTCCAGGAATCTAAGCCCTGAAAATCTGATGGATTTCTACCTGCAAACGGATTCCTCACACATCCCTAGCTGCATGGCACATCCCAAAGGTACGGGATGAATATTCCCAGCTCTTTTGCATCTGGGAAAGAAGCCAGGCAGCTCCTGGGTGCCTGACCACATTCTACTGATGAGTTTGGCTCTGAATATGGGACTGGACATGCCGGTCAACTGCAATCCAGAGTCGACTCCTTATTTTGCTTTGCCACTGGCTCATCTGATGTGTCAAGGGCGCTTGTCAGCCCAGTGTGAAGAGGAAGGCCTTCATCTTTTTTCCACCAAAATTACTTACATGCAATTCTTGAGCACAGCTTCCAGGGGCATTACAAAAAACAAAATAAAATATGCAACTGAAATGTAAGAGGCCTGTGCTAAATAACAGAGAACGAGTTAAAATACATGAAAACCATGCATTTGGTTTCTTTCCCTGGGGGGAAAAAGTTGGCCACACTGGAACCCAGCAGCTCTCCTGGGGAGATCACCCCTGTTCATTATGCATGGCAACTGGGAGCCCGCATCTCCACCCTTTGAGGCAGGACAATCATATTCCATGAGCTGCAGAAAATTTCTGTCACTTTTCTACTTCCTAAATTTAATCCCGTTCAGAAAACTACCCAACGGTTCTAATCACCATTAACTACTCATGTACGACTATGTCCAAAAAACAAATTAAGTCATGCCTGTTAATTAGCTGGTGCCTTCAGGGAGCAAATGGCAGCGCAAGGCAGATGTGCCCCGTGCCACTGGCGCTCGTTTTCCCATCCTGCAGACCTGAGCATTCACATCTAAGCATGATTCCTTTGACTGGTTCAGCGTGTCATCCCTAATGCTGATTTCGAGCAGTTGTCTTGGCAGTCTGTGTGAAAGGTAGAAAGAAAGGAATTTCTGTGAGGGGCTTTTTATGGTTCCCCTGAAACTGCACAAATGGGAAAGCCATTCTGTTTCAGCTAGATTTTAATAGTCAATGTTAGCCTGACTTTGCAAGGGGGAATTGGAAGCAAGCAACATGAATTAATTAACAAATCAGATTGCCATTTTGTGCTGTCAGTAATGGGCAATGCTCCCTCCCTCTCATGCACACTGCTCAGCACAGATGTGCTTGGGGGTGCCGATGCCTCTGCAAATCTCTCTCCCTCCCATTCTGGCACGGATGTTGATCGATTTGGTGTACCAATATGGTGATCAAAATGGTTCTACAGTCAAAAAGCATTGTGGCGCAAGCCGCTGTTCCACTCTTATTTTCCAGACAATTCCTAGACGTTACCATGGTGATTCATGACCTAATTAAAGTCATTGGAGTATTACCCACATTTTTCAGTCAAAACAGAACAAATTGACATCATTCCTTCAAGCCTATTTAAAGAATGCAGAATCCAGGCCAGGCAGTGGGAGGATGAAGGAAGCCTCCAAGTCCTTCCTCTTCCTCAGCTGGTATCGTCCCTGAGAGCTCATAATGCAGCCCCAAGAAGTCTTCCAACAGCTTCTTCCCCAGGACATAAATAGGTTTTGATCGAAAATCAATGGCAGTATTAGCCATAATATTCCGGAAGAAAATGTTAGGGGCACAAGTTCCAGGACAGGATTTTCTGCTGTGGGGGCATTCCCCTTTGGCAATGCTTGCCCCCCAAACCACACATGGAAAGCTCCCCCCCCCCCCAGTGTACACAGCCTGGGCTGGCTAATGGCGCGGAACAAGCCATGCCAACTTCCCGCAGCTGCTGTTGGCACTGGTGCCTCTTCTTCTAATTACCTCTCACGCAGCGTAGCACACCTGTATCGGGGAGACGCTGAAATCTGGACTCAGCCTCTGAAGCCATATCGGTTTGACTGAAGAAAAGCAGGTTGCTTACCTGTAACTGATGTTCTTCGAGTGGCCATCTGTGCAGTCACACATACGGGTACTGCGCCTGCGCAGTGCCTGTAGCCAGGAAGATTGAAAGCTAACGGTTTTTGGCGGGAACTCCGCTCCCCCTCCCCCTTGTGGCCTAGAGAGAGCGGAGCGTCCGCCATTTTGTTCGGTCTTTGCGAGCGCCGTTCGCTCTGCCTCGTGCGGCTTTCGACTTTCGCTTTGGCTGTTCTTGGTTCTCTCCTTATATGTATGGCCCTTATACTACTTTCCCCTTACTTCGTTTCCCAGAAGAAACACAGTGGTGTCCGGGACGATGATGTAGAGGCACATGTCCTTGTTCTTCAGGCCAGAGCATAAGCAAACAGATATTTCATGTGCATCGTGCCAATTTGTTATGAAACAAGATTCCATGCACTGGAGCCATGCATGTGCTGCACATCCCATTTGTGGACGTCTAGCTCACAAAGGCATCAACCAGAAAGTGCCACAGAATCTGTTGCTGCAGCAGACTGATACGGTTGCTGGCCCTCTGGAAGAATTCATGTGCACAGATTGAATACGGTAACTTTTGAGGAGATGAAGTCCAGCTTATTCCAGCCTGCAAAGCAGAGGGAGGTTGTGCCCTGAGATCCATATAAACCGGGGAACTGGTAGGAAACTTTTCTCGCCCAAAGGTGGGAGTGACACATTTCCTGGGGGCAGGTGGCTAAAATTCTAGAAAGAAGAAAAATCCATGGTTCCCTTACCAGTTTCAGTTGAGTTATTTTGAAGCATTTTGAAAAATTATCAAACTCTTGCACAGTTCTGTAGAAGTGCATTAATTGGTTTTATTTATTTATTTTTCAATTTATGTCCTGCTTTTTTCCTACAGAGGCCTCAAGGCAGCTTACTTATCCCCACAACAACAACCCTGTGAGGTAGGCTGGGCTGAGCGTCTGTGCCTGGCCCAAAGTCACCTGGCCGGCTCCAAGGCCGAGCGGGGACTCGAACCCGGATCCTCCGAGTCCCAGTCCCGCGCTCTTCGCCACTGCGCCACCCTGGCTCTCAACACAGGTTGCAGGGAGCAGTCCGCAGAGTTTAACAAAGGCTTGAAATGATGATTGGGAATAGGTTTGGCCGAAATAATATCGTCCCCGAGAGGCCAGGCCTGCCTCCCAAGGACATCACTTAGTGGGGGTGGGTGGGGGAGAGGAGCGAGCTCGGGGGTCTGAGCTCTACGAAGTGCTGGGATGCAGTAGGGTGGGCAGAAAAGGGGGTGACAGGGAGTGGGGAAGTGTCTGGGGCGCGATCCAGGCGTCACTAGGAGCAGCTGCTCCACATTCACGACCCGCAAATAGAAATCTGTTGCTAAGGTGGAAAGCGGGCTCGGCCTGGCAGGGCGAGGAGCGAACGAGGGGACCCGCCAAGCCGGGGGTCCTCCCCGGGCCTGCGAGAGCGAGCGGGCTTGGCCGCTCCGCTGCAAGGAGCGCGGGAGACCCCCGCCCCCCCCCGAGGCGGGCGCGCTTTCGGCTTTGCTCCGGCTCGAGCTCCGGCGCGGCTGCCGCAGCCCCTGAACCGGCGGGCGGGTCGCGCGAGGCGGGGGCGCCCGGGCACGCGGAGGGACTGAGCCCGCTCGGCGGCGCCGCCGCCGCGCTTCTGCCGCTGGAGCCGCTGCCGGGCGGCCACGCGGGGAGCGGCGAGGAGGCCCC